GTGACAGGCGCTCGTGGGGGAAGGATGAAAGTGACATCCCCATCCCAGGTTTGGGAATGTCACGGTGAATAATGTGGAGGGCCCCATTATTCCTCCTCCTCCTCCTCCTCCTCCTCCTCCTGACTGCTGGAACTCTTCATCCCGCACAAAAGCAAACGCACTAAAACTTTTCTTCTGATGCAAATGAACGCAGAAAGCATTCAGGATCAGAAATAACAAAAAAATCCAGAGTGAGGCCAGAAAGGAGAGGAAGGAGGCTGCGCTTCATTTTTAATAAAACTGCAAACATTTACTTTCTTCTTCTTCTGCAGATTTAAGGTTTAAAAATGCAGATTTATCTCAGAAAATGATCTAATATAAAAAGATGATTAATTAACTGCTGCAAAAAAAATTCTGAATTAATGTTAAAATACATAAAGGAGGTTTTAATTATTATAACAGTTGGAGATTTTCAGCTAATTTAAAATAAGCTGAAATATAAATGACAAAGAAAAAAATTTATTTATCCTTTAAATTTAAAAATATGAAAAGATTTGATGGATTTTAAGGAGGAATTTTTCTCATTTTCTCAAATGGATCCAACATAAATAGATTAAAATTAGTTTTTAATTTAATAAATTTGTTATAAAAAGGTGATAGAAATGAAGAGCAAACAGCACATGGTCTGCAGACTCACCCGGATCGCTCCTCTCTCTGACTCCTTCCTCCTCAGCTCCTCAACTTTGCTCTCAGTGAGGAGAAGCGCCTCCAAGCACGTGGAAAGCCATCGGAGGCGCGCGGCGCGCGGCGGCTGAAGGGAGAAAAGTTTCACCTCCACGCAGCGCAGAGACACGCAAAGTGAGGAGAAGTTCCGAGAGGCGCAGCTCCGCGCAGCCTGGGGGGGAGGAGGAGGAGGAGGAGCAGGAGGAGGAGGGAAAGTTTGAAGACTGGAGCAGAGAGGAGGAGAAAGTTTCACCGGGATGCTGCTGCGGAGCTTCCAGGATGCGGGGCTGCTCCTCCTCCTCCTCCTGCTCCTCCTCCCGCTCCTCCTCTGACCAATAAATGCAGTTTTCTTCTCTACCGGCAGTTTCCTAAAGATCAAAGCTTCAAAGCCTCTAAAGTTGATTTAGAGAAAATTGAACAAAAAGCTGAAAATCAGAGCAGAACCTTTGACCTTTGACCTCTCTGCTCCGCTCATCTAGAACCTGAGCAGCTGATGATCAACTGGATCTGTTTGCTTTCCTGGAAAACTTCCTCCTGTCGGTTGCTTTGCGGATCCTCACTGCCCCCCCTCTCAGTCCTGTGCAGCGCTGACCTCTAGCGGAGGACTGGCTGAACTGCAGCTGTTCTCTGCAGCGCTTTATGTGAGTTAAACAGTGAAATAGAAGGAAAATAAAAGCGAGAAGAGATTAAAATATGATAGTAATACAAATAATTTAGCAGTTTGAAGCAGTTTAGAAAAAAATTTACTTAGAAGTTTATTAGTTTGGATTCATGAGGGAGAAAAACTCTCCATGTTTAATTAGTTAAAGAAGAAATCTGTGTTTCCACCTTCAAGCTCTCTCTCTCTGGATCGATTTCCTGAAAAGAAATCGTTAAATAACACTTTATAACGCATTAAATCACTACGATGCAGTATTAGGCCAGGCTAGAGAAATTCTTTCTATTTCGAGAATAAAATCATAAAATTATGAGAATAAAGTCCTAAAATTACAAGAAACAAGTCATATTTTATACCAACTCTTCCCAGAAGCACTTTCTTCCATAAAATGAGGAATGTGGAGCCTCATGGGAAGTTATACTTTAGCATGATGCCAAAGATTTCCTGTTTTGTCAAACCGATGCTAATAGCATCGGTTTGACAAAACAGGAAATCTTTGGGTTGATGAATGATGACTTCATTCCCGTAATATTACAACTTTATTCTCAAAATGAAAATAAATAAATGAATAAATAAAAAATCTCTGGCCCTAAAACTCTATCGTAAATAACCAGGAGACACGACAACAGGTTCTGATAGGAATTATAATCTTAGATCAGAGAAGTTCCTCAGAGTTACAGACGGCAGCTGCTCACCTCTGGGCTCACTGACCAGGAAGTGATTAACAGTTAAAGAAGCATCTCCAGTCTGATGGTTCTGTTCAGTTTTCCTTTGAGTATTCAGTTTTTCCTTGCTCCATTTTTTATTGGTTTAATTCCTATTTTGCTGTGTTTTCTGGATGTATTTGAGTTCTTAGGTTTTTTGTTGCCCTCTGCTGCCCTCTAGTGTTGTCCTCTGTTCCCACCTGCTCCCAATCAGCTCATTAGTCCTCTCCTTGTTATATGCTGATGAAAGTTCTCAGTCATCCAGGTCATAGTCATTCCGTAAAAAGGAATGACTAAATTCAAAAAATATCCACTGGACTTGGTTTTCAAGATCTGAAGACGTTTCTCCACCTCTCC